GTAAGATGCCGGGTTCCGTATCTACGTAACTTGAACGTAACGGATACGGCGGCCGCAAACGTAAATCGAGGTCCCGAATTCCCTATTCCTCAACACAGGCGGCAGCCGGTTTCTGGTCTGCGCAATATGGCCGCCACCGTTAGACACTACGGCCAATAGGGTTGAAGCGGCATTGCTCCCCTGTGGGCTCACCCCATACACACACAGCCTTGACCGCCTTGACAAAAACAAAATAATAATGCTGCGTCACGATTGTAACAAAAAAGCTGGCATTGACCTCTATAGTAGCCTAGACGGGCGACTGCCGCGCCGCGGCCGGCACGGAATCGTTCCCGCATGGGGGCGCAGTGGCGCCACCTGCAAGTGGTCAGAAGTTCCCGGTCCCTGTAGACGGTCCATGTTAAATGGGTAACTTTTGAAGTTGATTTGTATGAAAGATTTAGCCTGCGGATGGCTGAAAAGGATTGTTATGTAACTGAACATGCATTCTTAAGATGTGATGTGTTCGATTGCCAACAGGATGGCTCGAGCCATTGAATAAAGTGCATTATTTCAAATGAACCGGACGCTGGCAAGTGGCATGGTGCAAAACATATCGAAACGTGGAGAGGCTCCCTGCCGTAGGTAAGGCCATGCGGGACGAGGAACGTACCCGCTTCCTACTCAAGTGGCAAAAGATGATCAATTATAGCAACCGAAACCGCAACCAAAACCGGGGGGGGGGTCGAACGGACCCCCCCTCCTCAGTTTTTCGCAAATAATTCGCGTAAAAAGCGACCGATCGCGACGAAACTTTCAGTAACCTCGCGTAAATCAGTTTTACACCTACCCAAAAAAAAAAAATCATGACCCGGACCCAGATGACCTTTGACCTGTGATCTACTTTTCGAGACCATATGTTTGGCCGGAATCGCGATTGTCGGCTCGCATTAGCCGCGCGTTTGCAGGCTTTTCGTAGTTTCAAGCGTTCAAACATGTGTCAAAATGTTGCTCCCGTGCATTAGGGTGGGCGTCAAGGTCACCTGAAGGTCAGGTCAGGTCATTGACCTTTGATGACCTCGGTTCACTTTTTCGAGTTTTACATGTTTGTAGGCTAGTTTTGGAGCTGATTTTCGAATTTAGCAACCATTTTGACGTTTACGAAGTAGTTTTGGTGCCTTCGTAACATGTTACGAAGCTGTCAGAGGCGGTTGACACCTACTACGAATACCCGGCAGGACCCCTACTGGTTGACCTGACCTGACCCGACCTGGCCTAAATGCATCCAGACTTCATCTGTGACCAAAACGACCATGATATTCGTGATCAGCACCCCGAAAACCTCATAGCAGCGACAGTTAACGACGTTCTAACAGGTCCCGATTTTCGCGACTCTTGGGTCATTGACCTGCCCTGGAAGGTCAACCAATGACCTAGGACCTTAAAATTGGGTATCATCGGTTTCCTCTCGTCTACTTGCAATTCCATCCTTGAAAGTCTGCCAGTGCTTGCTTATATAGATCACCATCGATCTGGAATGATCATCTTATCGGCTTCCTCTCGTCTACTTGCAATTCCATCCCTGATAGTCTGCTAGTGCTTATATAGATCACCATCGATCTGGAATGATCATCTTTTCATTTTTGCCACCTGAGTAGAAAGAGCAAGTACGTTCCTGGTAGTTGGTACTGCATGACCTTACCTACGTCAGGGAGCCTGTCTAGTCTCTACGCTTCGATATGCTATGCACTGCCAGCGTCCGGGTCATCTGAAATAATGCACTTGATTACATGGTTCGAGCCATCCTGTTGGCAATCGAAGACATCCACGCCTTAAGAAAGCATGTTCAGTTATATAACAATCCCTTTCAGCCATCTGCATGCCGTATCTGGCATAAAAATCGACTTCAAAAGTTACTCACGTAACAATTATCGGGGTTACATGAGCACAGTAAATACGTATTTAGCCGCTAATTCGAATTAGGAACGCATTACCGACTCATGTAGCCACCTGCTAGTACGAATCGGCGATCCGATCCGCGGTTACATGAGCAAAGCAAATACGTATCACGATCGGATTCACCGCTAATGCGAATCAGGAGCGTACTACCGACTCATGTATCCACCTGCTAATACGAATCGGCGGTCCGAACAAAATCCGCTGAGAAAGAGGCTTAGAAGCGAATAGGACCAAGATACGTATTACAGGAACTATTTGTTTGCAAAAAGAAACATTAAAATGCAAAATAATAGGTATTTTTTTCAATTTCTTCTTTTGAAATAATATTTAAAAAAATATGTCGGTATTTTGTCAAGTTTTCAACAATAAATATAGTGAAAACCAAATAGTAAATATCCACATAATTTCAGTTGAAACATTTTTCCGACAGCACTACAGACGAATCAAGAGAGGCAATTGCCCAATGAGTCAAAGCAAGACAACTTTATGTTCAACTTTTTTTTGTTAAGTTAATTGAGAATGTTTCGAGCAGATTAAATGCAAAAAAGACATAAGATCATAAATTTTTAATTTAGTCACCTCTATTGCTACGGAAGTGCGCCACATTTGTATGCTATTCCGTTTGTAATGCGCATCGGGCCGAGAGCCAAACTAGATCCGTTTGACGTCACTGATACGAATTTGCTCATGTAGTCGGTGCACTGAATGCGTTCTTGGGGAGCTGATGCGAATTAGCGATAGTGCGTATTTGGAACGGATCGCTCATGTAACCGAAACGTCCGAGGCACACGATTCGGGCCGTATTTCACAAGAACTATTCTTTGCTGACTGGAAGCGTCAAAATGCAAAATACTAAGCATTTTTTTATTGGCTGCCTCGTAGAAAATAACAAAAAAATGTTGGTATTTTGGTTTAGTCTTTGCATGTAAAATAAAATGAATGAAATATTTTGATAGATAATTTTTTTCTGACCACCCTGCTGTCGCTGCATGGCGAATCAGTGCCCACTGACTTAAAACAAGAAAACTTTGTTTTCATTTTTTGATTTCATGTTAATTTTAAATGTTTTTGAGCCTATCAAATGATATAATTATTTAAAATTTAGCTCAGTCGCCCCGGTAAATGCCGCAACTGCGCCATGACTGTACGCTAATCCTATTCCGTTTGTGATGCGAATTACCGGCCGTCGAGGAGTCAGCCCGGGTGAGCCAAACAAGATCCGTTTGACGTAGATAAAACGAATTAGTCTCATGTAACCGGTGCCGTAGATCCGTTTGTGGGGAGCTGATGCGCATTAGCGTAGTACGTATTTGGAACGGATCGCTCATGTAACCCCGGTAAATGACCGTCTACGGGGACCGGGAACTTCTGACCACTTGCAGGTGGCGCCACTGCGCCCCCATGCGGGAACAACTGCGGCGCGGCAGTCGCCCGTCTAGGTTACTATTACCGGGGTTACATGAGCGATCCGTTCCAAATACGCACTACGCTAATGCGCATCAGCTCCCCACAAACGTATCTACGGCACCGGTTACATGAGACTAATTCGTTTTATCTACGTCAAACGGATCTTGTTTGGCTCACCCGGGCTGACTCCTCGACGGCCGGTAATTCGTATCACAAACGGAATAGGATTAGCGTACAGTCATGGCGCAGTTGCGGCATTTACCGGGACGACTGAACTAAATTTTAAATACTTATATCATTTGATAGGCTCAAAAACATTTAAAATTAACATGAAATCAAAAAATGAAAACAAAGTTTTCTTGTTTTAAGTCAGTGGGCACTGATTCGCCATGCAGCGACAGCAGGGTGGTCAGAAAAAATTATCTATCAAAATATTTCATTCATTTTATTTCACATGCAAAGACTAAACCAAAATACCAACATTTTTTAGCTATTTTCTACGAGGCAGCCAATAAAAAAAAAAGCTTAATATTTTGCATTTTGACGCTTCCAGTCAGCAAAGAATAGTTCTTGTGAAATACGGCCCGAATCGTGTGCCTCGGACGTTTCGGTTACATGAGCGATCCGTTCCTAATACGCACTACACTAATTCGCATCAGCTCCCCAAGAACGCATTCAGTGCACCGACTACATGAGCAAATTCGTATCAGTGACGTCAAACGGATCTAGTTTGGCTCTCGGCCCGATGCGCATTACAAACGGAATAGCATACAAATGTGGCGCACTTCGTAGCAATAGAGGTGACTAAATTAAAAATTTATTATCTTATGTCTTTTTTGCATTTAATCTGCTCAAAACATTCTCAATTAACTTAACAAAAAAAAGTTGAACATAAAGTTGTCTTGCTTTGACTCATTGGGCAATTGCCTCTCTTGATTCGTCTGTAGTGCTGTCGGAAAAATGTTTCAACTGAAATTATGTGGATATTTACTACTTGGTTTTCACTATATATATTGTTGAAAACTTGACAAAATACCGACATATTTTTTTAATATTATTTCAAAAGAAGAAAATGAAAAAAATACCTATTATTTTGCATTTTAATGTTTCTTTTTGCGAAGAAATAGTTCCTGTAATACGTATCTTGGTCCTATTCGCTTCTAAGCCTCTTTCCCAGCGGATTTTGTTCGGACCGCCGATTCGTATTAGCAGGTGGATACATGAGTCGGTAGTACGCTCCTGATTCGCATTAGCGGTGAATCCGATCGTGATACGTATTTGCTTTGCTCATGTAACCGCGGATCGGATCGCCGATTCGTACTAGCAGGTGGCTACATGAGTCGGTAATGCGTTCCTAATTCGAATTAGCGGCTAAATACGTATTTACTGTGCTCATGTAACCCCGATATATATAGGTCAATGAAAGCTGGCTGCAGACAGCTGATTATTTTCTTATTTATTTGATTATTTTGATGACGTTAGAAAAATAAGGAACTGATTCTAGGATTATTTGTTTTGAGGAATGAGGTTACTACAGAGAATATCATATCTTCAATTTCAAAATTGTGTAGTTGTATCGTCATTGCATTGAACAAAATAATTATATATTATATTACGTCATTTTATAAAAGAGTTTGCGTGGCAGAATTATTTATTTACCGTCCGAAATAACAAACAATTATTTATTTACGGTACAGAATAACAACCAGATTGCTTATTTTATGCCGTGGCAAGATTTACGACAAACTGAGGGAACAAAAGGTCTCAATCAAAACCAATTACCTATGGAAAAACCACGACAGTGAACATCTTATACGTTTACGCAGTGTTTCGTTGATCATAAGCAATGGCCTACATGCTGATCAGTGATCGGTGTCATCGTGACGTATACCTAACACCACTATAGGTATAGGTACTAGTCTGTACAGGTAGTGCACAAGAGGGAGTTGCCTCCGAGTTCCATTTGCAATGCACAACCGAAACAACCGTGGAAAACACACGCAAGCTACACATATCTTACATTTATTCCATTGACGGGTGAAAACAAATGTGACAAATGTCAGTGTCTACATAACATACCTATTTACACCCTATTTATAGTAGACAAAGCACATGCCACGCGGTGACTGGTGAGACGGACAGCTATGGAGCAGCGGTAAGGGCGCAAACCCATCGGAAACAGTTATGGAGCACGAACGTGCACGTACAGGTGTATATAACTAGGGTGAATGAGAGCAGCTGACAGACATGGAGCATATTTGTACAATAGTGCAACGTGAAATATAAATGTACGACGCCATCCTGTGTTCGTAATTCTCCCGAGACCGCGGTGGTCATCTCAATATCATCACAACTGATCAATGATCACCTTTCCATTACACATCGAGAAGTATTCTGCTCAGTAGACACGGAGCAATAACGGCTGCTCGGGCATACAGTAGCATACACAGTGACAGAATACGACATCGCCCGGGTCACTGGCGATTCGCAATACCAGTGACCTCAGCTGACCCTCTGTGACCTCAGCTGACCCTCTGTGACCTCAGCTGGTCAGCAGTGACCTCAGCTGACCCACGGTGACCTCTGACCTTAGCTGACACAGGTCAGACCGCCTCCGGCGCCGGTGAGGCCGTCACAAAGAGTCTCTGTGTCGCCTCTATGCCGAACGAGGCGATTATGACATTGAGTAGCGTGATGATAAACACCATGATGACGGTGACGTCGTTGATGATGTCTGCCGCCATTTGGGTGGGGGATTCGTCGTTGATGTCTAGTGCGCCCAGCACCATCAGAAGGACTCCCACCAGGATCTGAAACAGACCACGGAACGGGCTCGGGTCAGGTCAGGTCGGAGGGCCCAGCGAGTTCGGGTCGGTGCTCAAGAGTTAGAGGGAACGCAAGAGTGTAGAGGGTGCATTCAGGCGTGAGAAACCCGTTGAAAAGTGTCAAATTGGCAGACATCATCAAACGACCACTCCGTATCCGACAGGATTAGCCAATTTCAATGCAACTAATGTGTTCGCACGTGTTCGAATCGAAACGGCGTTACACCGTTAAAACTACCTAACCAATTACCACAATAGCCATTCTGAACTTTATATCACAATACCATCACTATTCAAAGTACACTGTACGGGTGCGAATTTTCGTATCACTACCCATATGTGTGCCACATCTTCACATCCCGTGCCTCGTGCTCCAAATACAAATGCTCATATGCTACATAAAAGCAGAATTAGGCCAAATATTTCACGTCTCGAAACAGGAAATTACACGCACAGCATATCGAGTAAAGGGGGACCAACCCAGTGTCAGGAGTTAGGAAGAACTATTATACGCGCGATTGTCAAGTAAATAACTACGTCACTGCTAGTCGCTATACACACACGGCACACTACATTACGACCCGATATCGGGCTTCTGATTCTGAACAATGAAAAATAACTACTGTAAGATACAGCGGACATCGCGCTACGTCAGAGTGGAAGGTAGTCCGTAGTCGCCTGTGGCACTAAAGATGCGCTCAAGACGCTGTGCGGGGTCTACATTTTTGCTCAATAAGTACACCTATCACTGTATCCACTATCCAGCTATTCCATTTTCTACACATCGATGGCTAAGAGAAGAAGCATTTTCTACGCTTAGGTATGTTCTGCCTGCAATAGCAGTTTCGCTACCACATCTACTTCGCCCTTCTCCCGCAGCTTTCGAATTGTCTCAGTCCTCGCTCGCAGGAAGTATCTTATCCTCTGACTTTTGAGACCTGTCGGCTGGTAGTACCGCGGGGACCCCACAGTAGCACTGGCCAGCCGCCAAGCCGCGGGCGGCGCCTCTCTCCACCACCGGACGACCCGAGCAGCGCCTCTCTCCACCACCGGCGGACCCGGGCAGCCAGCCCCTCCCTCACGGGTCGGCCACGACGCGCCTGGTCGGCTGCACGTCCAGCCCGAACCCGGTACGGATGGCGTCCACACAGACGGTGAACAGCGCCAGCGCCAGCGTCAGGTGGTTCAGGTACTCGCGGGCCAGCAGACGCGTGCGCGTCGTGTCGCGAGCGTCCAGTCGGCTCAGCACCACGTTGGTGATGGCCTGGAGACACTGTACGGTCGGTGGCGGTTAGTGCGGAGCTTCAGAGGATGACCGAGTCGTACACTTTGGTAATGGTATACCGTGTTGACACTTATAAACGATTGGTTGATATCGACTATACTCGTAGGATAAATGTGGGCTGACCGTTGATAGTCGGGATTAGGTACCCGGCGATACACAGACAGGCTACAGTTCTAAGAGCTATCTAACCCAATCATCCCATTAACACGACAGCAAGTAGTGGGATGACTTGTTTTATTTCCAAATGCAGTGCATGTGAACATGTAAATAATTAAGAGCAATGCACAAGGATATCCACCGACGCGCGACTACCAAGTACCATGCAGCCATGCCATTAAGGACAAGGCAAGCGTGCTAGGATGATATGGATGACGAGATATTCTGGATGAGACACCCTGTGGTCTGTTCCTTAGTGATTCGTCCGATTATGAATCGTCTGACCTTCCAGACATCATAGTCGGGGTTCTGTTTAGCCGCAAAATTAGGTCATTTGTACACCTTTATTTCGTTATACACGTATGTCACCAGTGGTGTAACTCACTTGTAAGTATAACGCCATTCTCGACAGAATAACTTTACATAATACAAATGAAGCACCCATTCAGAGTTGAAACGCCACATCACTTCACGGGCACTCGAGCACAGGCTGGCCTAGCTCTCAGTTTACAGCGACCCCTGGCGGAGCCGCGCTCAGAACAGTCCCTTTGGGAACGGTGCCCACCGGACGCACGTCAAACGCCGAGATCAGCACATTGGTGGTGGTGATAACGAACACGAACGCCAGCGTGGTGTAGTTGATGCCGTTCGCCGAGCGCGCGTAGTCCTCGCGGTCCATTCGACAGTCACGCAGCAGGTTCAGGCTCAACGACAGCACACCAATCAGCACCTGCAACGGACACGGCACGCCGTTAGGTGGCAGCGCAGTCGCAGGGCGCTGCTGTCGTGAGCCTAAACCGCTGCGTGACTGCGAGCGCCGAGCTGAAAGGTGAAACCTAGCGCCTCCGATCGACCGGAGGTAGCTGTACTACCCGTGAATAATTTTGAAATAAAAACGTCCGAGAATTTGAAGTGCGGTATGCGTTTGACCTTCTTTCGCTCCACATAACTGTGGAGGCCTTGAGCTCTGCGCGACCTGCGCCAGGTAGGCTGCGGTAATGATCAATTCTGACGACTCGGCGCTACGACCGCGGCGGCCGAAAGAAAAACAACGTCCGGTCGATTGTTCACGGCACGATTATTCCACGGCACGGACCACACCAAAACAAACCTGCGCTCTCCATGCTACTTCAGCGCTCTGGATTCGACTCTCGTTCACAATAACTAATGCGCAGAGCGAGCCAGAAGTCTGATTCAGTGAAAAGGAAGTCTGATTTAGTGAAAAGTATTCATTCACACGGTCCACCTTGCGGCACAGTTTTTTTTTTTTTTTTTTTTTTTTGTCCCGGCATGTGCGGTTGTCGCCTGGCCCGGAGGCCTTTTCCGAGCATTATCGTCGGCAGTGGGCCGAAGTAGACGGGCGCTGCGGAGCGTATCGAGTGGCCCGCTCGCACACCGTACCGGTGAAACCACCAAGGGCACACGCAAATGGAGGACAGGCGCCCAGAACGGATACGGTGTGTGGTGGGGAGATTGTGCTCGTGCGAGACTAGAGGCATTCAGGTGTAGCGGGCTAGCATGCCAAAATAGGGACCAAGCGCGACTGTATCTTACAAAATTTATGCAGAGTTGACAACCCGATTCCAGGACCCGAATCCGAACCCGAACCACACGGCACACGCATCCATGCACGCTCGCTACCATGTAGCTTCCCTAGCTGCCAGGCCCATCAGTGCACAGGATCCAATGCGCCGTCCAAGCCTTCCCCGAAACCAGCAACGCCTCTACGCAGTAGTGCACAATGCTCCAGACAAGCTTCTTCACCTCCGACGTCCCGAGTTCTCACCTGCAGTATAATGCTGAGACTGATGAGTGTGACCATCAGCGTATAGAACTCGTGCTCCTCGCCGACCTGTAGGACGTAGCGCAGCTGGGACGCGTTGGCAGTCAGTAGCGCCACGTCCAGCATCCCCTGAGCGATCGTCTTCTTGGTGGCATACCGGTTGGGGTCGAGGGTCTTCCGCTGTGGAATACACGAGGACGGGACGGTCAGATATTGGTAGAAATATCAGAAGTCAGTCTAACCAATAACTGCGCATCAATAGACAACGTTGGGTGGCCAGGGTTAGGGATAGAACGGGACACATGGCTAAGTGTAGTAATTCTGCGCTTGGGTCACAGGGCCTCGCCAGATACAGGCAAGCACCAGATGTTGCTTGCTGTTTGCACATGCCATCGCTCTGTTGTCCTGATTGCAGAAAATTTGCTGAAAACGCATATATAAAGAAACATCCACCAACAGGAGCCATAATGCTAGGACTCAGCTCCACTCAGTACACGGCTCACTAACACAGCGAGCTTGCAGCTCTTCTCCGGGTTAGGACCGATTCTCAGCAGTAGGAAAGGACCGGGCTCTCAGACCGGACCGCAGGCAGACAACTGTCCCGGCAGGTCGACTACTTGGCTCAACAAGCTTCAAATTATAATTTTCGCATCGTTTGTTTCTTAGATGGGCCGTTCTCTAAGACGTCATTTCCTCGCTGAATGACTGCGTTTGGACGTCGCTCCCGGGACCGCACCGGGTGGCGCTGAACATCTGGATGTCAGCACGTAATATGATGAACAAAACACTGGCCACCTGGCCATTAGAGCTCGAAAGCTGCCGGTCGTGGGCAGTCTCTGAGAACTATGTCACTGAAATGTGGACCATCTGTTCACAGGTCCGGATATACATATGGATGCCAAAAGCTTGGTTAAGCATAACTTCAGTCGTGGCACATACGAGCACAGGCATTGTTACTTTTTCCAGGTGAAGAATTGCGACAATCCTCTAGCCAAAGAAATACATCCTTAAAGTTATGTGCCGGAGTCCGGACAGCGAGTGGAAGACAAACGACGGATACCCAAAATCACGAAACAATGAGTGCGTTGCAGCCCCTCTGTACAGCCTGGCCATTCAGATCTCAGACCCACAGTTCGCTTGGCCGTTATACGGTATGACCACACGCACGGCAACAGGGTGTCTCTTCCCTAACCTCACTGCTCACAAAGTGCCAGCATTCACCGGCTCGGGGAACTCTGCGCTCCCCAACCCGGCCTCCCCGGCGGTCCCTATCCTGGCCTCTCTGCGGTCCCCACCCTGGCCTCTCGGTGCCCACCTGCCCCAGAGCTCACTCACCGGCTCGGGGAACTCTGCGCTCCCCACCCTGGCCTCCCGGCGGTCCCCACCCTGGTCTCTCTGCTGTCCCCACCCTGACCTCTCGGTGCCAAGCCTCCCCCAGAGCTCACTCACCGGCTCGGGAACTCTTTACTCTGCCTTCCCCAACCCTGGCCTCTCGGTGCCCGGCCTCCCCCAGCATCCACTCACCGGCTCGGGGAACTCTGCGCTCCCCAACCCGGCCTCCCGGCGGTCCCCATCCTGATCTCTCTGCGGCCCAGCCTCCCCCAGCACCCACTCACCGGCTCGGGGAACTCTGCGCTCCCCACCCTGACCTCTCTGCCCTCCCCACCCTGACCTCTCTGCGCTCCCCACCCTGACCTCTCTGCGGCCAAACCTCTCTCAGAGCTCACTCACCGGCTCGGGGAACTCGGCGGTCCCCACTCTCGCCGATGCCATGACCGGAGCCGGAGCCGGAACCGTGTCGTCCACGGAGCCGGCGGCACGCAGCGGCGGCAGCCGCGGCTGGTCCGGAGAGCCGGAGCTCGGCGTGGTGACCGCGCGGGGCTCCACAAACACCGGGGGAGGCACCCGCGTCCAAATGGTCACCGACCGTCGCCGACGGGCGGGGCAGATCTACCGCAGGCCCCCGGGAGGCACACAGAGGATATATCACGCCGGGTGGGGACCCGCGCGGAGTCACGCCGTCTCAGACAGTGGTAGTGTTGGTAGCGACAATAAACGACGAGTGACCGGCGACGGCACCGACGGCCGCTCAGGCACGCGACGGCTCATTGGTCTCCGTGGCCGGCGTCCGGTGACGTCATCAATCAATGGTGACGTCATACACCTGCCCGCCAGGTGGGCAGGGGGGGAGGGGGCGATGGTAATGTGCGTGGTCGATACACTACCTCGTTTAACGACCGGACCTCATCAATGGGCCAACGAACTCTCCACTCCATAGGTGAGCACAACTCGCTGCCAATCATTTCAAAATTGGAGAAAATGTAAATAAATCGAACTCATTTGAAGCATCACAACACGGCTGTAGATCGTCTAATTCTTGGCGACCAGCCGTGACTGGCGCCATCGGTGCCATGGAGTCCAAGGACGGTCTATCGAGCCGGGGGTCGGGCCCGCCGACTGACATGGGCACGGTTCGCCGAATGCTCCCACAACAGCGGCAGCGCCCCAAACAGAGGCGGGTCTATGGGGCCGGCCGTGGGACCCGAGCGCACGGCGGGCAATGGCCGGGTGCTCACGGAATCGGGGTACGCCAGCACCATGGAAACGTACTGCACGCACTGATGTGCATATTTGTATGTCGTCAGTGATTTCGGCCTATGGGAACTCGTAAAAACCAAACAATGAGCACAGATTGTAAGAATTTCTCGTCTGGTGACCCGAACCGCCGCACTGCGTCCGCCAAATAAATGTCCCATCATGGTAAAAGCCCTTGGTTGATTTGGTCTGTCAATGAACGGTGCCATAAATGTGCAATATAAGTTCAACAGCACTGACAGATAATGGCTTAGAATGCGATGCGCGTAAATAAATGCTGCAAAGTGTCAGCAAGTACGAGTACTATAAGATGACACGCTGTGCTTTATATGCCAGTTTGGAGCTGTGCCATGTGCGAATCCATGTGGTATGCATAGTTGATGGGTATTACACATAGCTTGCATACACAAGGGCAGGGCATAGACCAAGAATCGTCTTGCAGGTAATGATATGCATACCTACATGCCTGAAAAATGCACAAAAGTAAGGTAAAATAACCGCCCGCTGACGGTAGACCGTTTGCAGCTTGGAACCTTTTCATACGTGACATGAACATTCAACGCATTACGCAGGTATGCATGTGCAATAACTAGTGATGTCAATTTCAGAAAACATGTGTCCAATGTCCGTCCATTGTCCAATGCTGGCGTCGACTGTCCGTCCAAAAATGTCCAAGCCAGCCATTTGTCCAAAGATGTCCGACATCTACGCAATAGTTTACACTCAACACCGTTATTTAATTTGCTGTTAATGTATCGTTACCAGCTCAAAAGTGTTAATTATATCGAAAGCTTGGCTTTTTAATAGCCAATCAATGTTAAACACGATTACTTTATAAAAAATGTTGAGGTGTAGCAAGCGATTGTCCAAAGTTGTCCAAAGCCTGCTGTCATTGTCCAACCGAATTCCGAATTGGACATTGGACAAAATCGGAATTCCGAAGATTCAAGTTCCGATTGACACCACTAGCAATAACCGTCTGTGTGTATTTGTCGTCGGGACACGGTGCAGGTTGAAGGGTCTGACTTGAAGGTCTCTGACATTAGGGGCATTAGATCGATGACGAGGTGCAAAGGTCATTAGGTACGAGCACCACAAACGGTACAGACGTTACCGTCCTGGAGACAGCAGTCGATCTATACAACAAATACCGACCACGACAGTTCTTCGAAACTCACGAACAGGTACTACTTCACAAGCAAGGTGACTGAAGCTCAGCTAGCCTTTATACTATAGCGCTTAAACATATTTTGTAAGCCTTCCGAGTTAAGAAGAACTCCATGATTCGGCTCGAAGCATTGTGGTGAGTGAGGTCAGAGGTGGGTCGTGTCTGGGTCGTGTCCGGCCTTCTATACGGGCAAAGTTATGTCTTCCGTTCTGTTTCTCCGCCAACTCTTGATTTCCGATAGACAAGAAAAGGAAGAATAAAAACGCATTTAGTCAGGACCGACTAATCGGCGGAAACGACAGGATGGCCAAATCCTTTGCCGTTGTCAAGTTGCCGGACAAGGCCATCGAAATACAAAACCTCAAAACTACACTTGTACCTGACCCAGGGCGTGGGATACCGAGTCACGGTCCACGGATAGCCAGAGCGCTAATTCGCTGAACGTTGAAATGGCATTTTATGTAGCCCGGTGAACCTTGAGATAGAGGAAATAGGCTTCATTAGGTGGCATGGGAAGAAAAAGAGGACAGTAATCGGTCAAGCTCGGGTGTGGACGGACACTTGATCAATATCGGGTACCAAAACAGGCGACAATAATTTAAGATCAGCCACATAATAGGACATAACACGTGAACGAACACACGTATCCACACACAAACACTGGAACACGTATCCAGTGTTTGTCCAGTGACTTTTCAATGAATAGCATAAGAACTGCGGGTTACCCCGTCCGGTACTCACCACTACTGGTTCGGCGTCCTCCAGCTCCCGTCTGGCACCAGCGCTGGTGCCGTTAGTGCCACCGCTCTCCTGGTGCAACCCATTGGTGACAAAGCCTATCTCCGCGCGGCTCGTTGCCTCCTTTGCCATGTTCAGTTGTCCGGACGGTGACGGTGACAGCACCCGGTACCCCTCCGAGTCTTGTCCGAGACGGGAGATGGGAAACTGACCCGGGCGGTCTCTCCACAGGCCGGCCCAGACCACAGGGAAGCGAGCCGGCGGCTCCGGCTCGGGCGGAGCTGAGGGACGCAGCTGCTCCTGAGCGGTCCACACGAGCGCCGAGTAGCGCCGTCTGCCCGATAGCTCACCGCCGTAGCTCATGCACGGCGAGCACTGCCGATGCGGAACAGTCGGGGATCACGAGGCCGCAACGTATTCTGATGTGCTCAAACGACTGCGGTCACAGCTCAGACAGCCTTCGGCCCAGATTTTCCGCCTCGAAACTCAAGAAGCTCGCTGCGTATCGTGCCTGAGGTGAGCTGGGATCTCTTCCTCTCAGCTAGGCTGCCAGCTCCGTATGTGCCTTGAATGGCCTCACCGTCTCAGCTTCCTCCGTCTGCGCAGCGTGCCTCAGCCGGTCCCAGAGCGCCGTGCTGCCTCAGCGGCTCACTGAGAGCCCCCGCCGTCCACCCGGCGCCCGCTGACCGAGCTGACTGGCGAGCGGCGACGACTGCTCGTGAACTGAGTCGCCGGCTCCGCTCCGGCCGCGGCGGGAAGCGCCCGTGTCGGTCCGCCGCCCGTACCGCGGCTATTAGCGCCGGCTGGCTGACGGGGCCGCCCGTCAGCCGAGTGGAACCTCACGGTCACGAACGGGCTGAGTATAGAGAGACAGTGTAGACCACGCCCGGTGTCGGGCAGCACGGCAGAGTACGAGGGCGGGTTGTGGTAATGAAGGGGCGTGTGTGTGCTCTCAGCCAGAACTCCATCTGAAAATGTAGGAATGAATCAGGTTAAATGATAGGCGAGGAAAGATCAGCTGGGGCAGCTCAGACACGAAGGCAAAGACGAGTCTACTTAGCTTCATCTTCTCTCGAACAGTGCAGAGAACACGCGATATTTGGTGCAAAACGAATACTCATAGCCATTATTACACCTTCCTGACGATAGGTCACTGCCGTTCACATGCGATACAATAGCTATTGCGTAACAGCGGACACAGCAGCACCAGGGGCACTTACCTTTCCATCTCGATTGTGTGGACCGTGAACGCACCTTGTTGCACGCACGAGCTGTCTTTAGACAAACATCGGAACTAAAAAACAACGCAGTCGTGCAAATGGCACTGCATTCGTTTCGCAGTTTGCATTCGTTCACAATTATTTCGCAATGCCACGCCTTTCGGGCGTCACCCAGGCTGCAAAATTTATGAACTGAATGCTTGAAATCAAGTATCCGTCGGGAACAATTAGGCGACAGCATTTCAATGTCACATGATAGGGCAGTTAGGTACGTCACAACGTGTAACACTACGGATTCCAAATGCAATAATAATTTGTGTTGATTGTCACATCGATTGCAATACAACCAGTAGAGCGCTCGATTTACAAATTAATGGTGGCTTACACGAGCTGTGCAAATGCTCCTCCGACACTTGTAAGTCCAATGTGAAACAATATAAGCCAGTGAAACATGGAACATGACAAGGGTTTATACACGGTTTATTAGCCACCCTCATGACCAACACGTGCCGACAAAAATGAGCGCCAAGGGGCCAGGGGGCATGAAATCACAGTCGCCCTGTCCTTCCCTCTCACTGGTTTTGTAAACGCCGGAAGCGTTTATGGTCTCCATTTGGTTTTGGTTTATATTCTCCTGTCCTTTCCTGTCCCATTGTGAGCCCATCGGCCCGTCTTGTTGAGCGAGCTGTAGGAAACGGAGAGCCAGTAGAGGGCTCTGCTGTCTGGTTGCAGCCAGAGGTAGGGGGCAGCACGGAGCACGGGTTGAGACGCTGATTGGTACTTTGGTACTTGCAGGGCACTAAAGAGTTGGTACTTGTGTAATGTGGAATGTGAATGTGGAATTGCGTCGTGTCGAATGGTTAGCCAAATACTCATGTTAAAATGCGTTAAATTTATGATTCGCGTGATATCTCATGTGATGCATAGGAGCCTTTTGCATTCAGAGAAAGACCTATTATAATGGACACGGTACTTAGTGTGGTACTGGAAATAGTGCTGGTACTCATACGCCAACACGTCAGATTTGGTAACCGCCCATTTCATGCCGCATTTTGGTTCTTGGAAAGCGTTTGAAGTATAAGAAGGCGATAGCGTTCAGGCGTGAAGAATATGTCTGCAGGTGGATAATGTTGGTGAGTGTTATCGTCTCTAGCGATAAAGAGACGCTTAATTGTTATCAATATTAGTATTCATTGCGCTGCATTGTTACAAACTGGATCTGAGAAATGCGCCGATTTGTGGACATGCCTAAGAGCTGGACTTTTTGCACGCGTTCCCCGCCAGGGGGCGCCACTGAGGAAGCACCCTCTGACGTCACGATAAAACTGCGCGCACTGTGCGCACGGTTCTGTAAGCAAGTAATATAGTGGTGGTTTCATGGTGGAAATTGGAATAAGTATTTTGACGTTGTAAAATACCGAGCCGTTTTTGTGAAATTAATTAGTGAATGCATTTCAAAAGTATTTATTTGAAGTGTGAAAGGAGAATAATTAGAAGAACATGCATATTTTTGTTCCAATAGCTTATTATGTGAGACATGATCGGTACTAACGGGTACTTCTAAGAAGTAGTGAAGAAGTACCAAACAGCCTGCTCGGCTACGATCGTCAGCTGTCCTTTGGAGCTGGACTTCAACGCTGTAAAAAAAATATGTGCTGAATTAATTTTTAGTTTCACCAAAATATAAGTAATTTATCATTTCTTTTTCACTTTTGTAATTATTGTTGAGTGAAGAGACATGTTGCTAGTTCTGACAATATAAATTATTAACCTTCGCCCTGGTGGGGGGGGCCATTTTGGCCCCCCCCTGTGGTTTTTCAGCGATAACTCAGAAACCACTTGAGTTAGCGCCCTGAAACTTTGTATAGCTGTTTATTCAACATTTTTACATCATGTCCTTTTTTGGAGGGTTCGGGTCAGGTCAGGTCAGGTCACAAGGTCACCAAAACTGACACCACCTCTAAAAAAGTTCAAAGCTCTCTCAAAGGCACAGCTTTTATCCGATCGATGTAAAATTTACAGTACTTGAAGATGTCACTCAGCTCTACAAAATGGCTATCTCGGATTTTTTATAAATGTGACCTAAGGTCAGGTCAGGTCATCGCTGCTCCCCATTATAAGTCAATGGGAGAATCGAAAAGTAGTTGTTTTTCAGCTAAATCGGGCGTGATTGTTCCTATATTTCGTTATTGAAGTGTCTTGGGTCAGCAAATCACAGCCCATGTGAAACCATTTGCTTGTGACCTCGCTGAGGTCACGCTAGGTCATCTCCCTGGTCACCAGAGGTCACCAGCGGTTTTTCTGCACTTACTTGTTATTGAATAGAGATAGAGACTCCGTTCGACGTTTATCGTGTTTGTCTCGTCAATGCGGATCGAATGATATGCAGCATGACCTATTTCGGTAAGGTCATGACCTTGACCTGAGGTCAAATTTTCAAAATGACCTTTCGAGGTCAAACTATATATCATTCGACGCGTCTCGACGAGCCAAGCACGATGGTGCATGAATCGTTTCTCTATTTTCTCGTGAATGCATGCTATAGTTAAAAACATTTTCAACGAAATTTGCCAAGTTGACCTTGCATGACCTCTGTAGGCCAAACCGTTGAGCTGAGGTCAAATCTGACGAACCTTGGCGAAAGAGCTTGAAAAGAGCTATCGATTGCTTTTTTCCGCGGCTCTCTAGCTCTTCTAGTTTCCGAGCTACAGCGGAATATGTCCGGCAACACCGAAAACACTGAAATTTGACCTATGATGACCTCTAGCGACCTCAATATTGACCTTAGCGAAAAAATGACCGAAATACTTTCGAACGTACTTGTTATGGGCTTTCGTTTGCTTTTTTCCGCGTCTTCCTAGCCCTCTTCGTTTTCGAGTTAGACGGGGGGGGTCATTTTGGCCCCCCCCCACCAGGGCGAAGGTGGCTCAGACCCACACCAGGGCGCGGGTTAATTAAAAAAACGAAATGCGACGGTAAGTATCTGCTACTAAATTATCACTTTAACCAAATACATGGAGAATCTTGCTACCATTGCTTATAAAACGTGCTTATCAATACACAAATGTTTTAGTTCAGACAAGAAGGATTTATTTGCCTGAAGTCTTGCGTCATGTGCTACTGCTTTGATTCCAAAGACGCTCTCCGGGTCGGGGTAATTTAGTTCTTCATCGATCGATAAGAGATTTTGATTTCATTGATATCCAAATTGATAAGCTCGGCACCATGGAGTAAGGGCGTCCCCACAGGGGTGACGCAGGAAATATGAATGGCGTTTACACCGACAGTAGTTTCCCACAGCCGGCAATGGGAATCTCCTGTCGGTGTAAACGCCACTATAGTCCCATCCAACTCAAAAACTGGGGAATATCCCCGCACTTTTGAGGACGGAAATCTATGGACCTGCTCGAAAAATAGTGGATAAAATACGGCGAGCTTTCAGTTTTATGGTTGGGTCTCCCTTCCGAGGCACATATTTACGGGGGATATTGGGTCATATTCCCCCGGCGTCCTGATGATCGGCGCCCAGCTCAACGTCGAAGGCGCCCTGATACGCGGCACTGCTATCTGTGAAGGTGCCCAGGTTGCTGCCGCTCGAATTTTGGTCGCCTACTTAACAAAACCTCCGTTGGTGCCATCTCAGTTTCCTCGAGGTCAGGCAACCTTCACACGCCGTTGGCTACCTTGGCTGACCGGCGACTCGTTCCCCTCGTGGCGACGCTCTTGACATCCAGTCAAAAGTTGGAGTGGCTGGCGCCCCCAGTGGGGGCCGGGGAAGGGGCAGTGGGCCTTCACGTTGCTCTCTTCCCGAGCCTATGGTGACTTGGCTCAACTCTCCTCACTAGAATCTGGATTCTGCACGCTGTATTAACATGGGCGTAGACACCACTACGGACAATACGGACAGTGGGTGTGACAATCAGTAGTGTCATTCATATAGAGGGTGCCATATATGAGCGGAGAGGCAACAGTACAGCTGAGCGGAGAGACAACATTAAAACAACAGTACAGCTGGCGTTGCATGGAGCTGCAGGCAACCGGACAGCGGAGGCTTGCGAAAAATAAACAATTCGTCACTTCAACGTATAAACAATAGTATAACAAGCAACATAAACACATATTCTCATGGTCGAACCCATGCAC